CACCCGCTGTATTTCCGGACCCGGTACTTCTACTATCTTGTGGAAGAGAGCACAGAGCATTAGGAAGAACATCCTCCATTGCTCATCCAACCAGATGTATGTGATGAACCCATCCCACCAGCACCGCAGGGCTTTCTCAGGGGGTATCAGAGCAGCGGTGGCAATGGTGGTGAACCGTGTGACTCATCTTGCGGCACCCGGTCTCACAGGTGTCACTTGTGGGAGCTCCAAGTCATCATTGTCCTCTTCCCTGAATGTATCTGCAGCACGGACCATAGAGGAGGCTGTTGTGGCTGTGCATTGCAGGCTGAGTACCAGCGCGGAGCACTCGGTTGCCGAGGCAGCCATGATTTCTCTACAGCACATACTGCACAGGTCCTGAGTACTGCCAACATTTCTGTTAAAGGGTCCGTGTTGTGTCTGCGCACGTGCACATGCGCCGCAGAGTATGAAAAAAAAATTAAAGCCACCACTGCCGCCCTTGCGGTTACTGCATTCCTATTTGGGGCAACCTCGGGGCCGGCAGTGTGGTTATTGAGGCTTTAATAGAGCCTCAGAAAAACTGCATTAACTGGCCCCAATGCGGTTGCTGCGTCCCCATGTAGGGGGAAAGCACACGAAGGCATCCGAGACGCTGCGGGATGGTGCGCCGCGGGACCGCGGCATCCACACCACGGCGCACCGTTGGCGCCTCTGAAAGGAGCGCTAAATCAGCGGTCCTTTCAGAAGTCAGTGAAAGTGCGCCCTAAAAGCATAGGGTGCACTTTCTCTGACTTATCCGGCGCAGCGTGTGCGGAAGCTGTGGCGGGAGGTTGCCCTCAGAGCACCGGCCATGCGGAGGGCCGGCAGCTCCGAGGGCAACCTCGTGAGGAGGAAGGGGCACTGATCGTGCGGCTGCCCCTCCTCTTCCCTGCCTCGGAGATGACTTTATTAGTCATCTGCCGAGGCCCTTAGTGCACCCTCAGGGCATGCAGTGCGGTTGCTGCAGTTTCGGGAAAAGACAAATTCTGGTCGCCCTTTCCTTCCCATCTGCATAGCCCCTAAAGCTTTCTTCCTTACATCCTTTTTTAGTAATCATTTTAATTCTTTGCTTTTTTCTGCTAGTAGAATAGTCTCATCTGCACACCTTAAAATTTTTGATGTTACTTCTTCCAATTTTCATCCTTCCTTCCTCTGAATCTATAATCCTACTTTAGTTGGGAAATCTTTACATGTGATTTCAAATTTTGTACATCATTATTATTTTCTTTTAATTTATCAATTTTACAAGGGATTTAAAAAATTATAGACAATTAATGATACTATTGAGAATGACAAAAACAAATACTACATAATTGAACTTCAAGCTCCCTTCCAGCCTACCATGCTCCAGTAATATGTACTGGTTTCCCCAACCCTCATTGGTCTTATGCATATTTTCCACTCATCTAGCTCTCTTAAGGTGGGCAGGAAAAGAAAAATCTATTTGGAAAAATGGGGTGGGGGTATCATAAAGACGAAATAAGAGTTAAGTTAGAGTTATGATTATAAATCATCCATTACAAAGAGAAAAGGATTAAGGATTAATGACATGATAGCAAGATACATGATTAACAAGCAAGTGATGTTCATTCATAGTGAAAGGTAGACCAAATAAAAGAAAGGCATGAACTAGTTGAAATCTCTTGAGATGAAAGAGAGAGGCTAAAGAATAAAGATCCAATGTAAAGAATGGAAATCTTATTAGACCAGGAAAGTGAATGGAGAAATGGAACAGATTATGCTAGAGAGGAATTAACAAGACCTAATGTCTGGACATTTTTTAATAATTAGACAGAGACATATATATACTTAAAGAAAACACCCAGTGGATAGGACTGGTTAGTGCTGGAGAAACAACAACAATTAGCACACAGAAAATGTTAAATTTCCATATTATAACAGGATAAGAGGTGTGGGGAAAAAACATGAATGTTTAAAGAATATAAAAGGATTGCCAATAGCAGGGACCGGCAACCTACGGCCCGGGGGCCGGTTAAGGCCCTGGGCCCTGGACTTACCGGCCCAGGCCGAAGGTTGCCACCATCGCCATGCGCCGCCACGCATTTTCAGCCGCGTTTGCTATGATCGCCATTTTGGAAGTCAAAATGGCAGTCGCGATGTGTTTGCGCATGCACGGTACTCTTGCGCATGCGCAAACGCATCGTGGCTGCCATTTTGACTTCCAAAATGGCGGCCGTGACATGTGCCATGGCGGCGGCAGCCGTGCACACTACGGTGGCGGCTGCACGTGCAGGGGGGTTGCGCACGGGGGAGGAGGGTGTGCGCGCGCATGAGCGCGTGTGCCACCATTCCCCCCCCCTCGGCCCAGCCGAGACCTGGGCTACGGGAGACTGGCCTAGGTCTCAAAAAGGTTGCCTGTCCCTTGCCAATAGCAAAAAAAAAAAAAAGCTCATTAGATCTAGAAGCATGAGATAACCAGTTGAGTGAGAGATTAAATTAATTTCTTAATAATTAATATTCTTTTGCTGTGTGCAAGTGTGGAATTGAGAACTTCTTGTAATTATAAATCAGATTTGGCTTGAGATCTCTTTGCTGCTAAGATTCTTCTGTTCCTTCTGCCTCAAACCTCATTTATTTCCAGAGGGAATGAAAGCAAATGGTAGAAAATCTATTCTGTCAAGTTTTGTGCACTGCTCTATATGGTCTACAGCAAGACACATTGAATTTATTGATTGACAGAATGGACTCCAAAATGAATCTACTGGAGATATCCTTATCAAATCCAGACCTCCTTGAATGGGACTTTTAGTGTAGATACATTTCATTTTGACCATATTATTATTATTATTATTATTATTATTATTATTATTATTCAGAGAGCACTGCCATACCAAGGTAAGCCTGCTGCTACCAGAGGCCCAATTAACAATGCTGGATGAATTATACAACGTAGACATTATTATTGGTAGACTCTGGTTAACCTGGTGGCCACTACCCAAACAGAAAGCCAAATAATGAGACTAGTTGTCATCTACTGTACAAATTTCAACAAATTTGAAATTTGACATGAGTTGATGGTTATGTTCTCTGTAGGGTATTAATCTTCTTAGGGGGGAAGCAGACAGGCAGCCCTGGGCCACCCCGGGAAGCTGCGCCGCCCCTGGAAGGAGTGCTCCTTCTACAAGTCGTTGAAGGTGCACTGCAAAAGGCTGGTGGCACACCTTCGGCATCTCTTCCGCCACAGTGTGTGCGGACGCTGCCGCGGGAAGGCATGGTCGGTGTGCCAGCCATGCGGAGGGGCTGGCACTTCGAAGATGCCTTTGGGAAGAGGTTGGGGCGCCCACCGTGTGGCTGCCCCTCCCTTTCCTTGCCCCCAAAATGGCCTTTTGCGCCGTCTGCTTCCCCCTTAGTGGCACATTTTTTTCTATTTGTAGAGGAATGCAGGGTTAAATTCTACAGTGTGCCATTGGATATCCAGTTAACCTACAATATGTACACAGAGGTGGTGTAGAAATCACAGCACCAGGCAATTCCTGGTTTGGTAGGCCAGGAGGGCAAAAGTGTTACATATGCTATTGAAATAAACATTGGGTGCTGCAATGTTATGTGAATTGGACTACAAATCTCAGAATCCTACAGCCAGCATGGCAAGTGGTGCTAATCTTTTAACCATTTCAATACTAGGTTAAAACCTTTCTGTTTGCCTGGGCATTCTAAATTGGGCAGTCAGTCTACTTGTATTTTTACTGCCTTTTGATGCTATTTCATTATCACATTTTATCATTTGTACCACATTTTGTGGTTTCAGGACCAATTTTATTATATTTGATACCTTCTGATAAAGGATTCTTCATAATATCCAAAGGAGATAAGCAAAGTCAAGGGAAGGGAAGGGAAGGGAAGGGAAGGGAAGGGAAGGGGAAGCTGTGATTTTAGTAGAGATTCCAAGGTCTTTCAAGAAGAAATATTGTAATCAGGATGGGCACAATAGTTAAATCTGTTAAAAATGAATTTCACTTTGTTGATCAGAATCTAGAATAATATTAGACATATGTAAAGCTTCCAACTGTCCTGATTTGAGGACAGTCCTGGTCTATCATCCCACATTTTTTCACTGTTTTAAAATATCCACATTTGTCTCTCCTCCTCCCTGTTTTCCCCTTTGTCCTCAACTCACTTCAGTTGATATAAACTGAGTTCAAAGTGGGAAAGTAGTTTGTACTCAGTTTACTTGGCAGGGAAGAAAAGAGAAGGGGAGAGAGAACTTGCCCTTCCCAGGCATAAACAAACTGCTGGAGTCTCTTCTGGTACGTGCGTTGTTCTTCATTAATAATATTTGCCATCCTGGTCACACTCTGATGTTGATTGGCCACACATCCCTCAGTTATCATCTGTGAAATGTTGGGAGCATGAAATCTATGGTTTTCAGTGTGCATAAACATGCCTATAGACTTTATTGCACAAGCTTTGTTCTCCCCCAATTGCATTAATGAAATAAAACATATACATACCAGTTTGGGAGCAGACCTTATCACATATATATTCAATCATGGGAATGGAGCTGTTGCAGCCATGAACAGTCCTGTACTCTTTTTCCCAGTCTGCTTCTTAATGCCACCTGTCTGCCCTATTGATCTTCCTTGCATGTCTTTCACTTTTTAATTGTTTTTATTTCTCTTTTTAACATAATTTAGCAAATATGCCAATGTGATTTAGTAAAGTGGGGATGAAAAGAGAGTGTAAAGAGGAGAAACCCAGCCTGCTCAGGACTACTGAGGAGGAGGGGAGAGAGGGAAAGAGGAAGAAACAGCTACAGGCCAGTTGCAATTTCATCTGATAAGGTTCCACCATAGACGCTACTATCCTGCTTCAATTCCATTTTTCTACCCTCGTGCAATAACCTCCAGTGTCAGATTGTGACACTCAGTAAGATATGCCTAGGGTAACATTGTTCTATCACCATGATAAGTGGTTAGTGATAATACCATAATTAGGTGCTAGTATTAGAGCATGGGAAAGGCAGTGTGGCATAGCATTTTGAGTGTTGGACTACAACTCTGATGACCAGGGTTCAATTCCCTGCCCGACCATGAAACCCACTGGGTGACCTTGGGCAAGTCACATGCTCTCAGCTTCAGAGGTAGGCAATGACAAACGTCCTCTGAACAAATCTTGCCAAGAAAACTCCATGATAGGTTTGTCTTCAATTGCTTGAAGGCACACATCAACAAAGCATTAAAACAATGAATAATTAGAGAATGGAAATGTACTAGACAACTCCTGTATAATTAAACATCATAGGTGTAAGTTTTTAATTCTCTGTCCTCCATTTCCTTTTGCAAGACTGATAGGACATTTTTTGTTCATGCTCTTTTATGCACTTTAAAGTTCATGCACTTCAATGAAATGTCTTCTCAATAAATATGAGAGATTTCTGTAAACAGATGCAGTCATATGAACTAATGTATATTTTATAGATTTATACAGCCATACAGCAACAGAAAGGTATTTTTCAGCATATGTTCCACTGTGCCACCATGTGGCATCACCACTGCCATGCATCGCTCACTCTGAGGTCAGAATGAGGTGCCCAGCTTCGATCACATGGTTGGGTACCTCATTCTGACTGAAGAGTGAGTGATGCATGGCAGTGGTGGCACCAGGAGGCACAGCGGAGAACATTTTAAACAGCCACTCAGCATTGCAACAGAGGGCTCTGAATCTTATGAGAAGATCTGGAACAAACTGAATTATTAAAATCTGTTTTGAGAGAAATATAACTAGGTTTGCTTCTGAACTGTCTGGATATCAGCCAAGTTGTTTACACCAGACCTGGGATTGGGCTTACATCATTAAGACTCCCTGCAGAGAGGATGGTAGAGGCCATTTTATTTGTCCCATGTAGACAGAGACTCAGGGCCTAAGCAGACAGCTTATTGGGCCGTCTTGGGAGCAGGAAAGGGGAGGGGCAGCTGCACGCTCGGCGCCCCAACCCCTTCCCGAGGTCGTCCTCGGAGCAGCCGGCCCTCTGCATGGCCGGCGTTCTAAAGAGGACCTCCCGCCGCAGCCATATGTGCAAACAGCCATCTGGCATCACAATGTAGGGCTTCAGGTAACAGGGATTTGTGAGGTTCAGGGCAGTTCCAGGTCCAGGATACTCTGGGCTACTCCTGAAGTATCCTGGCCCATGCAGATACCACCTGAGTTACTTCTAAATCACATTTAACTGTTTTCAGGTAACAATATTTTCTTTTCTTTTTTTTAAAAAAAATTATTTGTATATTATATTTATATCTCATCTTTCTCCCAGCACAAAACTAAAATGTGATTTACATTTTTTAAAAGAATACACTAAAATAGCTAATAATAGAAAAGTTTTTTAAATAAATAAATAAATAAATAAATAACAACTCTGTGTAAGTCATGGCTGTATATCTGGTGTACAGTTCTTACAACACAGGGTCTAGGCTCTAGAAACTGAAATAATATTTTAAAATGTTTCTTCAAAAGATGAATAAGGGATTTTGCAGCAAGAAGGGCATGGCCCCATGAGAAGCATCACAGTTCAGGACTTTTCTGAAAAAAAGAAAACCCACATGTTTGTGATTATTATTATTTAATTTATGCACAGAAAATATAATTTTTATGCACATGAATAGTCTTTTATGTGTAGATTTTCTGCACAGAAAACAACATTCCTGTGCTGAAAATGTCATTGAAAATGCAAAGAAATCCCATCATCACACAGAATAAGTCCTGAATCACAAGAACTTCTCACACAGAGAAGAAAAATAGTGATAATAGTCATTGTTACATAAGGGAAGGACATATATGAAGATTTACACCACTAGATTCTTCAGCCCAACTGTATGTTTTACACCTTTATTTAGGAGTAGCAAAAGAAACCCTCTCTTCTTTATTTCTCTCTCACACATGTTATTTTGCAATTGTTAGACAATGTCCTTTGATTTCATAAAACCTTATGCATTGGTTTCAGGTTTTGGCTCTGAAATCTCAGGAAATGGGAAGTTGTTGGCCTGGCAAGCAGAGATAGAAGATGATAGGAATTAGTGTCTTGATAGTACAATAAACATTTCTAAAATGTTTCCATAGTAAGGGTAGCAAGGCTGGCTCTTCTATGAGACATGATAAAACACATAACTTTGGCAACATATCAAGAGAGTTGGCTGCCCACCTCTGCTGTGCTCTTCTTCCAGGCTGGTCCAATTTTCAAAGATGTGGTTAGAGGCTGAGAGGGCTATCGGTCTCAATGGATCAATCAATAACCTTATTTGTTTATCACTATTCCTTAAACAATAGGTACCAAGCAGCTTGCAATAAAGCCAGACAGGTATGAAAATATATTCCTACTGGAATTAAATCAAATGTGTTTCACACCAAGTAAATAAAGTATCAGTAACAAAATAATTAATCTCTCCATTGTATCTGTGGAAGTAGATCAAGGCCTTGTCTGCATGGGTCAGGATACTCTGTGGACAATCTGGAGTATCCTGGCCCTGCAGCTTGCTCTGAACTTCTCTCATTACCTGGATTTCATTTCCACAGCATGGCAGCTGTCTGCATGAGCATCCCTCTGGTATGTCCACTGCCATTACAGGCTGCTCACTTCTGAGATCAGAACAAGGTACCAGGTAATGATCACATGGCCAAGCACCTTGGCCTGACCTCAGAAGTGAGTGACCTGAAGTGACCTGCAGTGGCAGCAGTCACATGGCTAACTCAGCAAGATGCCTGTGCAGACAACCACCACAATGTGGGAATGGAGGACTCCAGACCTACTCGGAAGATCCAGAACCATTGCCTGAGTTCTGGTACAGAACATTCCAGACATCATCGGGATCACTCCCACCAGAAGTAGGCTTGGGATGTGCTTCATCCAAAAAGAACAATGCCAGAATGGGCAGAGGATGGGCTTTTTGGCCTATTCAGACAGGGTCAAAATCTACAAAAGCTTATGCTATAACTTCTTTCACACAATCTCAAAGGGCCTACAAGACCACTTTGCAAAACAATTAACAGTAAAGCAAAATGGAACATCTCTTCAACCTTACCAGCTAGGAGAGCAGGAAAGCAAAGCAGGTGTTAGACAGAGATGTTGATAGGAAGACAATAAAACTGCATGTGGTCTAGATGGTGAGCACAGCTCATTCCCACTATGATTTACATCAATTTGCTGATCACTTTAAATGTGCCTTGTCCCCATTTGAAATGGTTTCATATGTAACTGCAATCATTTAGACTTGCTTTGAAGTGAGACAAATGCAAAAAAAAAAAACAACATTCTTTTCACACACTAGTTTTTTTCAGGTCCTTTTGAAAAGAAGCAATTAGCAAGCATGTTCAGCAAGTAGGAATGATGGATCTGAGTTGCATCAAACTGAAGGGGGGGATTTCTGTGGAAGAGGGTTGGCACAGGGGTGTATCCCATCCCTCACCAGTTTTTGGGGCAATCTGCTATTTTTCCCTCTCTCAGTACTGCCTTTGTGCTTTGTGGTGTGGCTTATGGATAGATAGAGAGAGAGTATATGCACTCCATTATATTTGCAATTACTTGCAATTACTTGTGGATTGTGAGCTGGGCGTTTGGACCGACTTTGTCTCAGTGACACAAGTAATTACAAAACCAATGGAGCACATATACTGTCAATTTAAAAAAAAAATTGCATGCATCTCGGGGGAGAGTCCTCCATGACACCCATGGATCCATGCATCCCAGAGGAGAGTCCTCCATGACACCCATGGATGCATGCATCCCAGGGGAGAGTTCTCCATATTTATATCCTAAACAGTAAACCTTTATTTTTCCCCCATTATATATAAGGGATACCATTTCACTATCCATTGTATTTAATAGGACCTGAACATCCATTGATTTTGGTATCCACAGTGTGTGTCTCTGTCTCTGTCTCTGTCTCTGTCTCTGTCTCTGTCTCTGTCTCTGTGTGTGTCCTAGAACCAAACCCCAGAGAATACCAAGAGCCCACTATAGTTGTTGTTGTTGTTGTTGTTGTTGTTGTTGTTGTTGTTGTTGTGTGCTTTCAAATCATTTCCAACTTACAGTGACCCTAAGGGAACCCTATCATGGGTTTTCTTGGCAAGATTTGTTTAGAAAGAGTTTGGCATTACTGGATTGTGAAGAGGTCCAAGAGGGCCAGACTGCTTCAGGAGAGTGATGTTATGCCATGCCTTCATTCCTGTAGTTCCATAGACTGTTCATCCATCTGAGGAAATGGTTGTGTAAGGAGATCACTGAGACCTCTTTACATAAGCAAGTAAAATATACAACTACAGCTGTATAATATCTAAAGGGTTCTGCCATGACTGTGGTTCTCTTGAACAGAATGCAGGTTTTGGGGAAATAATCACAGATCTCATTATTTTAAATATAACTGTATCTGTTTGGAGTAGCAAAATGTTTTGTCATAACATGAAGAGCTGAAGGGGAGGGAAATTACTGTTTACTTCCTTCTCTATAAAGTTGCAGAAATGTTGCCTTGAATTGATATATAAACTAATTCTTCCTGCCTTTTCAATGGTTTATATAGTATTGAAAATAAGAGGGTAACAAAAATCAAGCAACTCCAAAGCAGAGCACTTAATCACATCAGTTCAGTTCTGAGACCATCACTGTGATAAATTAATGGATCCAAAGATTTCCTTAACAGGGTTTTAGCTAAAGCAGTATCCCAGGAGGTGTAACTATTCTCTGTGGCTGGAACAAGGTCCCCCACCTTTTCAGCTTCCTTCATATGCTAAAAAGCATGTCTTTGGGCAACATCCTTTGAAGTTCAAATGAAAAATGTTTCAGTCTCAGGGTAGACATATATTTCTCAAGCTTCACCAAGTGTGCTCCAGGCAAACACTGTAAGAGAAAGAATTGATCTTGAGGGATTTAGGTCCTAATGACCAGTAAGCCCAGAGTCCAATGGGGCCTCATTAAAAGTGTTCTCGCTCTGCCTCCTACGTGCCTGCACAATGTCGTGTTTTTTAAATAGTCTCAGAAAGAAGGCTTTCTGTAGTAGGATGGCAAAAGCAGGTCTCTGTCAATCAGTGAGTTGGCATTCAATAA